AGAGAGAGAGAGAGAGAGAGAGAGAGAGAGAGAGAGAGAGAGAGAGAGAGAGAGAGAGAGAGAGAGAGAGAAGGTAAGGCGTAGAGAGGGAAGGGGAGAGGAGAGGATGGACAGGATGTGGGAGCGTGGAGGGGGTAGGACGGAAGGGAACAGAGGTAGTGCCTGATGGTAAAGTGAGTGAGGCGATTACAGTCACCCACAAGGAGAGAGTGAAGGAGGGACAGGATGTGGGAGCATGGAGAGGAGAACAAGGGGAAGGGCGAGAGGGAGGAGGAAAGAGGGCGAGAGAAAGTGGAAGAGAGGGTAGAGATGGAAAGAGAGATGGACAGAGCCAGAGTGCCGAGGAACATGAAATGGAGTCAGGAGATCAGCGTCACCCTCAGCTGCTGTATAGTATACTAGCAGCTGCAGCTATGTCTCTCACATACATCTGTGCGCGCATCTTTGTTAGCGCCCAGCTTCAATAGAAAGTTGACCGTTGCTGTCTGACCGTTCGATGCAGCAAAGTGTAATGCCGTCAATCCACCCTGAATCAGTAGAAAGAAAGATAGATACCAATGCAAACGGATTAGAAGCAAAAACAAACGAAACACAGAGTGTCACACACACACACACACACACACACACACACACACACAAAACAAAATCTTGCCAGCAAAAGAACACAATTTTTCTCCCTCTCCCTCTCTCTCTCACGCACACACACACACACACACACACACACGCACACACACACACACAGACAAACAGACAGACAAACACAGACAAACAGACGCAAACAGACACAAACAGACAGAGACAAACAGACACAAACAGACACAAACAGACACAGACAAACAGACAAACCGACAAGAACAAATAAATTTATAGAACTAAAAAAAAAAAAGCAAATACGTACGCTCTCCTTCGGCTTCTGTGAAATTGTGGTTTGAAGGCTACTAGTCCAGTCAAAAGGGAAATAAATAAACACCTGAAACAAAAACTACCCATGCGGTCCTTTGGGAGATCCGTTAGTAGATTCTGAAGTGGAACGATACAGATGGCCCCTGCGTAAGGATGACTCGGATAAATCGAGAAATGGTCCAATAAAAAAAAAAGTTAAAAAAACAACTGCCCATGCTAATGATAATAAAGGCAAGGAAACAAAACAAAGAAAAGTGAATATAGGCAGGAAGACTTTCCAGACAAAACATTAAGAAGGTAATTTTGTAAGGGACGCCGTAATGACATTGTTTGGTGTTAAAAAAATAGAAGAAAAAAAAAAAAAGAAAAAAAAAACATTAAGAAGGTAATTTAGGTAAATCCTGGTGAACAACATAATCCAGTGATAAACAAATAATAAATATTATTATTAATTAGATACTGTGAATGACATTCAAAATAATCTTTATTTTTTTATCGCTGTGGAATAAACGCAAGTACGAGCGAGACCGCCTGAGGAGTACAGCGGTCAGGTCGGGCGTGCAGTCTCCCTCCTACTCCGGTTTACCGGGCAGCTCTGTTTGACAATATATCGTCACAAACAGAACTGCCCGGTAAAACCGTAGGCAGAGAGAGAGAAGAGGACAACAAACGAGGGGCTGTGACAAACTGTTTCGTCGGAGTTTCACCGACTCATCATATAAATATATATTATTATTATTTTGTTCGCCCGGCCGGGCAAGTGGGCCCGGGCCATTCTGGTAGCCTAGCTTTGATGAGAATATTAAACGAAAAAAAAATGCAATATTCATATTATCATAGGTGTGGTTCCGAAAGAAGTGCGTACTTCCAAAAAAAAAAAAAAAAAAAAGAAGAAACACAAGAGGAACGGTACTGTGGCCTGTTATCCAAGAAACCCGACTACTGAGGACATGCCCACGTAGAGCTTTTTGGGAGGTATGTGACTCGAATTGTGGCCACGTTCAGTACAAAAACTCCTTAAGAGTGACTACCATGGTCACCTACTAAGGGATTTCGGAACGTATGTGACCTCGTTTACGGCCACATTCATTCAGTCCAGAGACCCCTACTTAAGAGTGTCATATACCCTCAGTAGGCAAATCAAACCGAGAGGTACTCTACCATATCCAGAAGGGAAAAAAAAAAAAAAAAAAAGCGACAGCGACGTATCCCCTCTTGAAAGACTGGCGAGAGAACGACATAAATGAGAACAACGGTCAAAAAAAAAAAAAAAAAAAATGTATGCACAAAGCTGACACGTGTCATCCCGCTGGGCGCCGCTTACATCATCTTTAGCCTCCAGCAATGCTCCCTTCTGCGTCAACAGCTCCACTGCCGTCGTACGCCCCTGCCCTGCTGCCACGTGTAACGGAGTCTGTCCACCCTGCTCCAAAAAAGAGCACCAAAAAACAACCAGCAGCATCACGGTGTGAGGTGAAATTGAGAGAAGAACATAGCTTTTAAAAGAAGAAAAAAAGACGACCAGCAGCATCACCGACGACGGAGGAAAAAGGTCAGGAGGTACCAATGGGGGCCTAGCCCAGTGGGGACCACACCCATGAACTGTTGAAATACAGATCCAAGATCGAATCCAGAAGCAAGCAGATGACAGAATATGATATTTCTGAATTACATGGGCCCAGGTAGTTCAATGGGGATATCTCAAGGCCATTGAAAAAAAAAAAAGATCAGCAAATCGGTCATCTCAAGGCCACCAAAAAAAAAGGTCAGCAATTCGGTCATCTCAAGGCCATAAATACACAAAAAGGACAGCAATCGGTCAGCAAATCGGTCAGCAAAACGAGCAAAACCAGCAAAACGAGCAAAACGGTCAGCGAAACGGTCAGCAAAACGGTCAGCGAAACGGTCAACCAAACGGTCAGCGAAACGGTCAGCGAAATGGTCAACCGAACGGTCAGCGAAACGGTCAGCGAAACGGTCAGCGAAACGGTCAACCAAACGGTCAGCGAAACGGTCAACAAAACGGACGAAGTGTCAGCAAAACGATTTGGAATTGGGACTCGGAGCGTCATTACAACGGGAACTCGATTTGGAACTGGGACTCGAAAGGGAGTTCCCAGTTCCACAACGAGTTCCAGTTCCACAACGAGTTCCAGTCAGTTCCAAATCGACTTGCAACTGCAGCTGGAACCGGAACTCGGAGGGACAGTGGAACTAGAGTGGGAACCTGAACTCGATGAAGATGGGAGATGAGATCCCGACCTCAAACTTCACCTACCTGTCTTCAGCGTGACCTCTCCGACTTGCGGAGGCCGGAAAAAGAACAAAGAAAAAAAAAAAGGGAAAAAAAAATTGTTGGCAACGTCTTCATAAAATGTCAAAACATAATTCGACACCATACTCACATTGGGATTTCTTTACTAATATATGGACGTAATTGCGGCCCGATAAATCCATCCCGGCCGTAAATGCGTTCAGATACATTTAAGAACGCCACACGCAGGGAGATGCTGACGTGCCCTTTCTTTTTCTTTTTCTTTTCCTTTTTCTTTTTTCTTCTCTTCTTTCTTTTCTTTTTCGTTTCTTTTTTTTTATTTTTTTTTCTCTTTGTGGCCACTACATTTCCAGAAAGGCAGAGCCCGTTGGGATCCCATCCATCCTGATCACTTTTCAAGTCGCCTCTGCGTTGACCTGGTCAACGCTGCAGGCCCAAGACACAGTGCCACTGTGTTGAGTTCCGGTGAAAGATACGCTGCAGACCACAGTCAAGCTGGTCCAACGAGGTCCGCCCTCTTTCTTTTTCTTTTTCGTTTTTTTTTTTTTTCTCTTTACGGCTAGTACATTTCCAGAAAGGCCGAACAAATCTCAAATGGCGCAAACATGGACTGATTATCCACCAAACTAATCTCACCGCCTTCTGGCGCTTCTTGCCCTCTCTGACTGCAGCTAAACATGCTGGCCTGCTCTGGCTTATTCTGCATAATGCTGTACCGACGGCTGCCTTCCTATACCGTCGACGGGAACAAGGATCTCCCTTCTGTACTATCTGCTCTTCAGGTCATCTGGTGGAAGATCAGGAACATCTTTGGGCCACATGCAAACATGCTCAATCTATTTGGACAATCGTCAAAGCCGCTTGCCCTCTTCCGACTTCGTGGGGTGATTTGTGGTCCACCAAAGATATCCTGCTGGGAACGGCACTGTTACATCTTACCAAACCGCAAACTTATATTTATGAAACAGTCAGAGCGGCTATTCTGTGGCAAATATGGCGACAAAGAAATGCTGTGGTCAGATCTGTAGACCTCCCGTCGGCCCCGCAAGCCATGCAACGAATAAAGAAGGACATACGCCATATCATCTGTTTGGATTGGGGTAAAAAGATTGGCTCATCAAGGAACCTGCGTGCAGGAGTCCAGTGGTTCCGTCAACACTGGGTAAGCTGTCCATCCCTGGCATCCATTGACGCCTGCACCGGAGATATTCGGTTTGGACCTTTCCTACAATAGTTGTAGCAATTTTTTAAGTTTAGGATATTTTTAGATCGCAACCGTCGTTAATGGATATCTTTTGGAGTGAATTCTGGAATTTGTAGGTGACCCTGTGGGTATATTAGTATGTCAGTTTCTTTGTTGGTTCTAATTTGTTCCTTTTTCTCTTGACTACAGAGACTATTTGCTACAGGGGAGGGGCTCCACCTTATGTAGAAGGATTGGAGACCTGACTGCCCTGAATCTGGAACTCCATTACTCTATGTAAATTGCCTTGGGCACTGGGCCCTAATATGATTGTGATTATAAAAAAAAAGAAAGGCCGAACAAAAACAAGAAAAAGTGTAAAAAAAAAAAAAAACCAAAAAAAAAAACAGAGCCTGCTGGGATCCCTTCCATCTTAATCACATTCAGGTCTCCTCTGCGTTGACTTGGTCAACGCTGGTCCAAGACACAGTGCCGCTGTGCTGAGCTCCGGTCAAAGATGCACTGCAGACCACAATCCAGCTGGTCAAACAAAGGTCCAAGATGTTGAAGGTAAAAAGTACGATGAGATTTTTAATATTAATAAAGTAAATAATATGAGCCTAGCGCCACCGCACCCGCTTTCTTTCCCACCAAAAAAAAAAAAAAAAAAAAAGGAATGCTAGTGTTTTTTCCTCGTTATCACGCTCGATTAATGATCTCTTTTTTTTTTTCCCTTCTCTTTTCTTTTTTTCTCCCGACCGTTTCTCTCGATTTATGCGAGTCATCCTTCCGTGGCGGCCACTTTTGCTAACTACCCTTCTTTGTACCGTTCCAATTTTACCGGATGTCCCCAAGGACTGACTCGCTCCACTACTTACCAAATCTGCAAAATGAGAAAGAATCTTACGCTAGAACATGGTCAGTTACACCGCCATAAGTTGTCTTTTGTGCATCTGGTGAGTGGTGGAGCGAGGCCCAATGTTTAAAGAGCATGAAACGCGTCATTAGCTGGCCATCTACACGCCTTCGACTCCCCTCCGGGGTCCAAGTCCTACTACCGTCTTCCCCCGAACATAACGCACCCTAAAAGTGAATGTATACAAGCTATATTTGCGGCCAGATACAGCCAAAATAAGGGTGCGTTGTGTTCGGGGGAAGACGGTAGCAGCGTTGAGCTTCCTCAACGCCTGAATCTGGAAATTGAAAACCCTTTTGCCGTTTCCGAGTCATTATATGGCGCCCTCCTTATCATTCACCCCCTCCATCAACCCCCCATCAATCCGATCAATCCTGTTAATCAATCAATCCCCTCGATCACTCCCCATGAATCAGTCCCATCAATCCCATCAATCCCATCAATCCCATCAATCCCCTCGTATAAGTCTCATCAATCCCATCAATCCCATCAATCCCATCAATACCATAACCCCCGTCCTATCAGTCCCATCAATCCCGTCAATCCTATTGATCCCGATCAGTCCCGTCAATCCCATTGATCCCGATCAGACCCGATCAATCCCGATCAATCACCATCTGTCCCATTCCGTCGTATCAATCCCATCAATCCTATCCATCTCGATCAATCCCATCAATCCCATCCATCTCGATCAATCCCATCAATCCCATCCATCCCATCAATCCCATCCATCCCGATCAGTCCCATTCATCCCGATCAGTCCCATTCATCCCGATCAGTCCCATTCATCCCGATCAGTCCCATCCATCCCGATCAGTCCCGATCAATCCCGTCATCGATCCCATCAGTCCCATCCCGGCTTATCAGTCTCATCAATCCCATCCATCCCGATCAGTCCCGTCGATCCCCATCAGTCTTATCAATCCCATCACTCCCAATCAGTCCCATCCTTACCCACTACCGTCTTCACCCGAATAGAACGCCCGGTCATTATCACTGCATCTGGACTGAAAGTTGGGCCAAGTGCAGCTATAATGACCGGGCGTTCTATTCCGGTGAAGACGGCCGTCCCAACAATCCCCACCATCTGTCCCTTCAATCCCCATCAGCCCCCCATCAACCCCCTTCCCCTCCAATCCTTCCGGACGGGGTTTTCCGCGTCTGCCATAGCCATCGACGAGCCACGGAAAATGCGGCTCCTCGTCGACGCCCCCGACTGGCTACCGTCTTCACCCCATTACGCAACGCCCGGTATCTATGTCTGTATCTGGACTGTAAGTTGCCCCAAATACAGCTACAATGACCGGGCAGTGTCGGGTGAAGACGGTCGGTACAAGTTCAAGGTGCTAGCACGGCAGCAACGGAGCAATGATTGCACGGCCTGAACAAACCACCTCCCACGTGTGAAAAGTGCAGAACACGAATGTATCTACTCGCCTTCCCGTGGGAGATTCATTCTCACTTTGCACATATAGATATGACAAATAGACTATTTACCGTAGCTAGATTCGAACGCACGACCTGTCCTATACAAACAGTGAGTGACAACTGTCAAGCCATTCAGCCACGTGGCCTGCTGCGCAGAGGTGTAATTTAATTGCTTGCTGTAGCGACGCAACACAACTCTGCAAAGACCCGCATGATTACACTCCCAGAAGAATTGCGTTTCATTGCACTATAGTAAAATCTGGAAAAAAAAAGAATACCCACCAACACAACATGGCATCCGTCCTGCCTACCTCCATCCCGACCAGTACGGACGGCACACAACTGTCGAAACGAGAAAAGTGCAAGAAGAAAAGTGCAAGAAGACGTGATCAAAAAAAAAAAAAAAAAAAACAGACGAGGAGCATGTTCCCGCGGAGAGTGGCAAGATGCATCCGTTATTAGTATTAGTGGTAACGGATGCATCTAGCCACTTTCTGAGGAAAATGCACTCGTACACTTTTTTCTTTTATAAGGCTAATTCTTTAAGCCCAACCAATTCAATTACCTGTCAAATCTGGACAGGACGGCCTTTCAGGCCTTTTTTATTGTCATTATTATAGTATTACGGGGAACCCCGTAGCAGCCACATCCGTGCTCAAGCCTCCAACGAGGGAACATGCGGGAGCTGCACCCACCAGCAGGTGCGATACCTGCTACAGCAGGTGAGTTTTGGCTTCTTCGACGGTGGTTGTGACGAGGCCCTCCCTTTAGGCTCCC